CACGGGCTGGCTGCCTCAAGCCTATGCTGTGACTGGCGGGCAAATCTCCTAACCTTGTGCTGGGCTCGATAAAGGCAGAGGATGAAAAGCCGTGCTGCTGCGAGATAAGACACCTTCATGGAGCGGGGCGAATTTGGGGATTGATCTGCCTGTCTCTACCTCTGGCCCGTTGGGTGGCTTTGTTGTGAGCCTGCCTGGGACTTGCCGCAGCGCCAGGCTACCTGCTGGCTGAGTGCTGAGCTGGAGGCTTTGTCCTTGTCCCAGCCGCTGGATGGTCTCTCTGGGCCCTTTTTTTGCTCTTGAGCTCCAGGCGAGAGAGCCACCTCTTTCACTGATGGTTGCTAAATGAGACTCTGTTTGTTCCAGTGCAGAGTGAAATATGAAATCCCATAAAGCCTCCTCGCTTATTAGAGAGAGCTCAGCGAGCTGCTTATTATGCGCCGTGGCGTAATGCAGATTACAAATGTGACCAAGCGATAATTAGCAGAGCTGGAACTGTAATTAAACGCTCCTGGGCTGCGCTGCGGTTTCTGTTGCAAAGTGGAAGGAAGCCGAACGGTTTCAAAACCCACAGGTGCCCTTCCTTTCCTCTGCAAGCACAAACAAGCAGCCAGCCGCTGGCAGCTCCCCTCCAGCTGCTTGGGGGGGCGAGCACTCCCTGGCACAACCTGAGCTCCCTTCTGGGCTTGCTGCTGTCAACCAAAGCCAGCCGGCCGGGCCTGGTTGCTCTCCAGATGTTTCACTGCCGGGAAGGACTTGCCCTGGTTTGTAGCCGGGTTGTCGTGGGAGGCAGCCTCCTCGGCTGGGGCTAGCTGGGGAAGAGGGTCTCCAGGAGTAGGAGCTTCCCCAAAGGAGTCTGACGCTTCCTTAGGGCATCCTCCTTTCCTGGGGTTCCCTGGGAGGCGCAGGATGGGGCTGCTGTGCTGGGGCTGCTTTGCCTTTGGCCTCGCTTTGATGCCAAAAACCTTTGCAAATGCTATGGGACTGCCTGGCTCCTGGGGCTGGCATAGTCGGATCACCATGCATGGGGCTGTCTCCGAGTCCGTGCTCTTTCTTGGGGATGAGAGCCAAGGACAGGCTTCCGAGCGAGCTGATCTTGCTGGTGGGAAGTCAGGCCTGGTGCGTGGGGGAAAAGAGCTGCAGAACGAGACAGCAGGCGAAAGCACGAGCTGTGCTGCTGACGGAGGGAAGCTTGCAGTCCAGCTGCTGCTGCTTGAAACCTCTAGGCTGTCTTTAATGCTTATTGGACTGGATGCGCTCTGATGAGCTGTCCGGACGGAGGACATAGGCAGGAGGACAAGGAGCCGGCTGCAGGCACGTGGGCAGAAGGCGCTTTGTATTCTCCTGCATTACCACGGCTGGAGCAGCCAATCCATCTGCCCCGGCCAAGCCAGAAGACCTCTGGGTTCTCCGAGGGGGTTTGCATGCGTTTTCCCTGCCAGCAGACGAACTCATGTTTCATATGCAGCTTCCCTTGTGGGAGTAGGTAGCATCCACTGTGCGAATGCGATCTCCTGCTCCTCCTCTGCGCGGTTACTGCAGAGTAGGGATTTGCGCCTCTCCTACCATCTCGGCCTGTGGATGACTTCTTGTATTGCTGAGGGTTCGGAGAGGCTTTGCAGGCGCTAATTGCTCAGGGAGTTGTGACCATCCTTGCTTGGGGAGATGGGGGGCTCCAGCCACACGGTGCGGTTGCGTGTGGGAGTGTGCGTGTGCCTTATTGCATGGGGCGGGCAAGGTTTAATGCGCAAGCTTCTGCTCCTGTTAATTGCCTTGTAAAGGGCAGGCTTGAAAGATGTACGTATGTGAGCAAGAGGACAAGCAGATAATTTTGGCAGCCGTTCAGGACCAGGATGCCACCTCAGCACAGGAGGCTGACCGTTTTGTGGCTGTCAGCAATGTCAGTCCACAAGAGCCAGCGATGAGGTTGGAAGTGGCCATGGGCTGGTGTCAGTGTGCCCGCTCGGTGACCAGCTTGGAGGCCTCTGCTTCCTGGTGCTGGCTCTAGCAAGCTTGGCTTCTCTGGGGTTATCATCAGTCAGGCCTCTGCAGAGGCTTACGAAATCATCTCTTGGCGTAGCACTAGGTGCTGTGGGGGGGTCTCCTCTGACTGAAACTGAAACACAGGTCAGCGCTCGCTGATGAATTTCCTCAGTCTGCTTCTGTTCTGAGGTTGCTCAGTATCTTATCAAGACCATAAACTTTCCTGCGAGAGAGGAGATCTGAGCAGAGGATGAGCAGCTAGCCCGAAAACAGCTGCAAATCCCCTTTGGCAAGCTAAGGCAAGGGAACTGATTTACTACAGATGGGTTGGCTGATGAACCCTGAAGGACAGGAAGGTCTCCACCCTTCACCTTCCCTTGGCCAGCAGCAAAATCAGCCTGTCAGCCGTCCTTCTCCATACAGCGTTGTGTTCTGCTGGTGTGGCAGAGTGGCTGAGGACCTGCCTTGTCAGCGGCAGAGTGACTGGACTGTCACTCGTGTTGGGTTGTTGGCTTTCCAAGGCCAGCTCTGGCAGAGAGATGTGGTTTCCATGTGCAAGGAGAGCAAGATGGCTGGCACTCATTCAGCCTGCAGCTCTTCTCCTCCAGTATGAAGCATCTGCTGGATCACTCTCTGAAGCTGATACTTTACACTTGCTTGCATAGAAAAGGGTTGTAATCTGAATGCATATGTCTTCAGATGGTCATGGGGTAGCTCTGGGAGGAGAACCTTGGTTTTCATTGGCACCAAAGGGAGGCTGCTCCTTGTTTGTCCTGTCCTGCCAGTTGAGCAGAAGCCTCTTTTTTTTTTTTTTTTT